GCATCGGCGGAGCATTGGAAATCAGTAAGAAACGGGCCTAAACAATGCAGAAGCAACTCAAGAGGGTAATTCGCGAGGACTATTGATCCAGCGATGCAAACCAAAGCTCTCAATTTGCGAATGACAGAACACGCATGGAGTGAGCCTAGAGCGGGATGTATTGATTCTATCAGCTCTCTCGCAACGAAAGAAACCAATGCTGGTGTCCACATTGTCTCAAGGTCATAACCTGTACGCCTGCAAAGAAATTCTAGCTCATCTATTAAGTATCGTGCTCGAAACGAAGGCTGCTGGCCAATTGGGAGTATTGCAGATGATGAGCTTCTCTCACAAATATTTTTCAACCGCTCCAAGGCGGGCTGGAAAAAGGGACGTTTCGCGAAGGCTCTCTCGATTTGCTCAGTCTGATCCATAGACCTAAAGATCACTGCAACGATTTCCGGGAAGTGCTTCTCCACAAGACTCAAAAACTTATCCGGTCCCAACAATTTTTTCATTCCACTTTCTGAGCCTCGTAACTTTGGATCTTGGGATGGGGGCATACTGATATCACGAGCAATGCTATAGGCTTCGGCTCGGTAGAACGACTTAGATAATAGGTCCTGAGGAGATAGTTTCAAGCACGTTGAAATCTCATCCATATCCTGTTCTTTGACACGCATGACCACCTGCGCGATGACTTCATCTTGCACGTCCACAAGTAAATCTCTAAGGCTATCATAGCCAAACACTCCAAAGGGCAGTTGCGTAAGCGACTGGGTCTCTATCCACGTATAGATAATCTGAGATGAAAAGAGTTTGAACAGCTCTCGCGCATTGACAAGACCCAGGGCCTTTGACACGTTTTGCAGGCATTCCTTCGCATACGATGTAGACGATGGCACTTGCCCCGGCGTCTCAAATATATGATATATACTCCGGCGCAGTAGCGTATGCCATTTAGATGCAAGCTTGGCAAGGATGAATAAACGCAAGGCAATTCCTTCAACCCATTCACGATCCCGGGGGAGGCTTTCTAAAATATCGTCAAAAATCGCATCGTGTTCTTTCAAAACAAATCCACCAAATATTCCCGGGATTAGATCGGAAACATGGAATTTCACTATTGAGTCGCCGTCTCGAAGAATTTTGAACAGGCTTGTTCGGGGTGAAGGCCACTGGTTTCCCCTGAGGAAGGCCGGGTTGGCATTCAGAACGTGCCTCAGCAATTCAGAAAGCCTAATCAAGGCCTTAGAGGTGCCGATACCCTTTCCGATCAAGACATCAACAAACCATGTATAAATATCCGATGCAGACTCGTGAAGATCGTCGCTTTCATCAGTTGTCCAAAGCTCCGCGAGACATGTCATCAGCTTTATACACGCACATATTGAAGCTTCGCATCTTTCGAGAGCGTATGATCCGAGGCATTGCTCCCCAAAAAATTCTATCAAGGCGCACGCCTCAGACCTGCTAATATATGGTAGGGAGCTAACAAAATTAGCCAAATATGTCCATCCAACGAGAATATCGGCCTCGTCCCAAGTTTCTATGTAATTACTGATGAGACCGCTGACGTCAACCTGGTCTTCGGTAGAAATATATCCTTCAATTAGAGAAAGTTGAACTGTACTCGCTATCCGAATGGAATCAAGGTCCTCAAAAATAGGAGTCGCATCGTCCTCGCGGTTTAGCTTTGAGATAATCTCAAACTCGGCTGAAATGCTCTCTCGAGACAAAAACGGACCATCAAGGTCCATACCATCGTCTGACAAATTTGCTCCACCCCGCTCTAACTCGCGTCGACGATTTAGAAGTGGAAGCAGCTCAGGAGACATTGTACTAACTGCCTTGAAGATTATGCTTTTCCGATCAAACGGCGGTTCTAGTGACAATATCAGGGGAGCCAGGACGTCCAAGCAATATTGAAGAGATGCAGCATCCTGAGATAGATGCTCGCACAAACTCTTCCACAAGGCATCAGTCGCCCGTTTTAGAGTTTGTGAACGAAAAGACTGCGAAGAGATGGATTCAACGAACGAGTTTGTTATAACACAAAGAGATACCAACGTCTGAATGGTTTCGGCAGTAATATGACTCGACTTATCCGCAAAAAGCTGCGTCCAAGCCTGGGAAAATGAGTCAAGTCTGGTTTGCAGAAGGTCCAGGACAATAATGTCATTGGGGTTACTTCTTGTAGAGGACTGAACATCAATGATCCCATTATTAGACAATTTCGAGCATTCGAAACATTCCTGAGGGTCAATAAGCAGGAGGTACTTTAGTAAGTCGCGGTTTTGATGATAAGAAATCCACATCTGGGCTAATCGGCAAACCGGTCCGTAAAAGCTGGGAGCTAGAGAAGCGACTGTTCTGCCGGTACATGATATTAACAAATTGAGTAGGTTTAATGGCCGTGCAAACCAAGCGACCTGAGATGCATGGAGTCTATCGGTAACCGGGCCTAACGCATTATCAGCAACACTCGGTGACATTTTAAAACAAAGCATATACCAATTGCCCAAGTGGTCTTGAGCCACGCACAAATCTGTCTCGCCATCTCTTGACACTGTGCCGGGTTTGCTCTGGACCTTAAATCCATCGTAGTCGTCCAAAGACAGAGAGCAGAATCCGTGAGGGTAACGGGCCCGTTGAGGTCCACGGACGAAGCAATCGAATCAATAGTATTTACAGTGTCAACATGGTCTAATAACTGGTAGTGAAGAATGGCGCACATCAGCGTACACCCAGCACGGGTCGTTCCAGGAGACGGCAAAGTGCGACATGCTAGCTCCCATATATGGGACCAGGTCTCTCGCAGTTCATTCAAGGATGCATGCCCACAACCAGCAACACTAGGAAAATTTTGTTAGCCGGGGAATAATGCATCCTTTGAAGACAAAGTCCAACCTTGCAATAGCAATCATAGTCCAGGAAGAGACTATAGCGCTCTCGTCTAGAATACTGGCTGCGAGTTGCTGCAACAAGGAGGAAACACACTCGAGCCCAAGATCCACTTGATAAATAATAAAGGGAATCGTTTGAAGAGCACATATTCGGTTTACACCAAGGGATGATGAAGCATCTCGGAAGATATCGTCAATTCTTGAAAGTAGTTGCTGTCTCTTGTTCGATTCTTCCTCCCCGTCAGCCTCAGGGGGGTGAGACGTGAGATAGAGATCATCCACAAGTTTCGAAAGAGTTGCTATAATCGATAACGTCATCCAGTGTTGTACAGACCTGCTAACAGCGGGACGAGGGGCCATAAACTTGATGGCCATCGGAATTGGACTCGAGTCAAAAGCGAATATCAGATCATCAACCTGTAAGATCTCTTTCTCAGGCAACCGTGTATAGGTTCGGTGGATCTGTTCGACTAAGCCCTGTAGAGTATCAATATGTAGCTCCATTGGCGACGCCCAGTTGGACCTTAGGATGTCTTTCCCGAGAGTTAGGGTCATTAACATCTCATCTCTCAGTTGACTAGACTTGGAGACCCAGAAACGGCGGATCGTAGGAAGGAGACGAAAAATAGTCTCCCGAACAAGAACGATATTATCCGTTATTGACTTTGCAAGTACTACGTTTATCGAATTAAGGGCAGCATAAGGCGATCTCCCTACCACGTTTAGCGACGATAAATAATCCGTCATGCCATAAAGTAGCTTTTCAGCTACGTCGAGGATGGGTGATGTGGGGGACGACGTTAATAGCTGGATGCAAAGCTCAAGCTCCTCAGCATTACTTTTTAAATCTGCCTGGCCGTTGCGTTGAGATGCTCTGGGAGCTGCAGAACCGGCGCGGCTACCCCTGTCATCAAAACTCTCTGGGGCAAGCGGCCCGCTACGAATTGTCAACTGGCTTTCATTTCTTTCCTCGCCAACACCAATTCCTCGAAGGCAAAAGTCAACAAGGCAATGCCAGTCGTCTTTGGAGAGGTGTTCAACATGGGGTGGATACTGAAGGAGAGACCTCAAGGCCTTGATATAATCAACGCTAAGGGGATCCCACAAACCTTCACCCGGAATGGGTAGCACGTCTATAATATGGCACACGACAACGGCAACAGTTCTGGATCCCACTGTCCTCGTTGACAATTCCACAGCAGTTCGGAGGACTGAAGCACATGTTGAAAGGCGCGACGCCGCGATTGATTTCGGACCGATTTTGGTTGCCCGATTGTAAGCCAATTTTTCTTTTGAAATGAATCGGAAAAGAGCCTCGAATATTTTCTGATAACCTTTGTCATCTAATAAGTTTCTAATATCAAACACCTGTCAGTCATGTCTGCTTGAGAAAAGCAGCGCAAATGCTTACAAATTCGAAGTCCGCTTGTTTTGAAGTAGAATATGCTTCAAATCTAAAGGTTGTTAGCACAAGAGATCTTGCTTCATGCAGCCAAGATGTTTTCATACCCCCAAGGCCGTCAAGCCGCTCCCGTAGGCGGTCGGACGAAATCAGGTCAAGAGCCTGGCTAATGTTGACCTCGCCCATGTTTGGCCTGGGGCTCTCCTCAGAGTCACTGTTGCACTAGTACAGCACTGCATGTATGGAGTTGGATATTTTGGTCGTTTTGGCTCCATATTCAAGTTCAGAGACCTCTGGGACCAGTAGTGGAAGGCATCCTGTGATGCTTAAACTTATTTTTAGATGAACAGTCCAGTGAATGAAATGCAATCTAACCATCAGCATAAGGATCTAACTAATAGATATGTTCTTCGCCCAAAGCATGAAAGAACAATAACCTTGGGTGGATGACTGGCTTCAGCCTTCCCGTGCAGATTGGGAGCAGGTTGGAAAACAATATTATAACTAGTTATGGTGCTCTGTCGTTACTGAGTAAGCTCAATACACGCCAAGTAAGTTAACTAACCAGCCACTCAGCGAGCAGTGCTTCTGGTAAATTACGTTACGAGAAATATCCATCGGCTCTATATTTCTCCGGTGTGAAGCTCTGGGTGCGCGTTTGAGCTCTTCAAAGCCCACCAACCGACTTCATTTCATTGCCTGGCCGCTCTGAAGGATGGACGGCGATCCGGCACTGGACGGCCTTCGGGGCCTTTACCAGGACCTTTCAGCTCTCTCAAGAAACGCCTTACCTAATGTGGATAGACTGGTGTTGGAGTTGCAGGCAACTGTTGGAGATTTTAGGAAGCTCCTAGATAAGGATCCGAAAAAAAATGAAAGCCGTCAAGCTGTTCTCTCTGGTAAGATACTTGTTGTCCGGTTGCTTTTGCTCTCGCAGATGCCGCAGGGATCTGATGCAACGCCTATTTAGGGAAAATCACCCTTGAGAACTTAGAATACTCCCTCAATGATGATTTTCAGCAAGCCGTGTTACAAGTTGCGGATGCATTGGATATCGACGAGATACAAGCCGCTGCTTATTATTTACAAGCCCAATTGGATTCGGTAAAGCTTGACCGTTCTCCGGTAATGGTGGCAATAATCCGCTTCCACGAACGGCGCGCCTTTCTCCTCGAATGCCTTCGTCTTATCTTACGGGAGTCCTTCGAAATTGAAAGAGAAGACACTCGTGCACTTATGCAGGATATAGTTGCGATGATTCTTGAAATACAGAATGGCCCGCTGCGCAATGGCTCTCTATATGCTAGAAAGTGTATGGATTCAATGGGGGACATTGAAAGGTGGCTCGTCCTCCTCGGTGAGCAAATACAAAAGGCTTCAATCGTTGGGCAGGCACAGGCTTCGGACGTTTTAGAGGTGATCGAATATCAGCGTCACAGTCTCGGAAGGCAACATGAATCGTTAGGGGCAATTTTATCCTACCTTTTTAAAGGGACCTTCACGAGTTCGGAAGATTTCCGGAAGCTGCTTGAAAAGCTTAAGAAGAACGAAAGATTCGATATGCTTTTAATACACTATATTCCTGCCCTTATTTCTGCCATTTCACAGTATGGTTCTTCCGAAGGCCAAGGCCCGCTGCGAGAAGCCAGATCTTTGCACCTCGCCATCACCGGCAATAAAGAATCCACGAGCTGTGCGCTGCCGAAATTCCATGCCGCAGTTGTTGTACTTTGGCTAGTAGAATATGCTGGCTGGTACTTTGATAGTGGCCCGGCATCCCCACTTCAGGGAATCAATCCAGGCGATGAGCTCGCAGCTCTCACTCAAATGTTCATGGCCGCCCTTGAAGATGGGGGTCTAGAGTTCATCCTTTTAGTTTGTTCAGGCATTACCAGTGAAGAGTGGGTCGCTCCGGCAAGAAACGAACTGGTTGGCTTACTCCTAAAAGATGCTGCGAGTCTGACTGTTGAACCGGATGCTCCCTCGCCCTATTTTCGTGATCTTCTGATGGAGGGTTTGGAGACGTTCACAGAATCCTTGATAGCTAACATGCCGGATGCGATTCGCCAACTAAGATCAGAGGAAGATTTGCAACGGTTAGATCAAATGACAGCGCTCCGCGAAGCGACAAATACGTCTTTACACCGTGGTTTAGTCGAACCCCGGATGCATCTAGAGTCTCTGCTAGTAATCATTGCATTCACGTTTGACCATAGGGACGAGGCAGCTCAGGAATTTTGGGCAGACACTGACAGTAATCTCTATGGATTCCTTCAGTGGGTATCTAAGCGTCAAACTGTGCCTCGTGTCAGTGCTTTCTGTGAGATGCTGTGTTCGCTTTCTGGTGGTGAAGAGAATTCGGCTTCAGCACACAGATTCTTGCTCGATGAAGACGCCTCCTCCTCCAAATTCCGGCGGTCAGCCTCGATGAACTGGGATCAAATGTTTGCCGAATTACAATTATATGCCACCAGAGTTACCGAGCGGCCATCAGCGGCTCAGCCGTCAATCCTTCGCAACCGAAAACCCGAGTCAGTGGACATTGACGAACCAGAAAGCCCAGTCATGCTTACTTGTTACCTGCGACTCATCAGCCACCTTTGCAAAGAAAACGGGCAAATACGCGATTGGATCTTGCAGCATCCGACCGCTAACCTTTCGAATACGCTCCTCACCCTTTGTGCAGCACCGATTCCCCATCATTTAAGGGCTGCTATTTTTGTGACTCTGCGTTGCCTGATGATACGGCGAACAGCAGTTCATGGAAATGAGATGTGGGCCTTGATTGATCAGTGGATTTCTGGCTCCGGGGCGTCCCCCTTATCACTCACAAAGTTGCCAGCTTTATCAAGCTCCCCCGCCCTAAACGAACGGCATGCTTTTCAAAGAATCATGGAAAGCTTTGACCAAACCAATGCCTTTGTCGAACTTTTGACGATTTTAGTGTCTCCTACTGTTGATCTACCAGGTTCACACATATGCCTCCACTTCCCTGAATCGCTAGGTTCGTCATACCGAATGCCTGGAATCGAGCCGTACATCGACTTTGTCATGGGACAAGCCCTTGCTAATAAATCAACGGTTCTCGACGGGAAGGAGGCGCGACTTCTGCAATGGAACTGCCTAAGCTTCGCCGCCACCTGCGTAGAATCATTCAATGAAAACCTCGTATCTCTTGTGAACCAAACTACCATCTCCGCCAATACGACCGTTGGAAGCGTTCCCTTGCCGACATATCTCCGTTTGCATCCTTTCTCTCGAGTTATGGAATGGATGTTTAATGAAGATGTCTTAAGAGCACTTTTCTCTTGCTCTCATCAAGATATCGATGATGTGGCAAATGCTTCATCGGACTCTATGTTACTTTGTTCGCTGATCCGCAGCATCGAGGTGATGAACTTGATATTGGATCACCAAGCCACATTCTTCGATATTGTGCGCCCTTTTATCAGAAGCTTTCCGCAGCAAGGGATGTCAACCATGGCAAATGCCTCTCTTGCCTCGTTCGAAGACAGCATGATGGATAATCTGAGCCTCATATCTGATTTATGCCTATATTGCGGAACCGGTCACCCGCAACTAACTCTTGTCTCTCTAGCACTTCTGGAGAAGCTGTCGGCGTCTCGCAAACTCAACAGGCCAACCGCTACATTCTCACAATGGCAGACTTCCAACCAAATTGTGGAACTATTAAATACAAACGTTGATGCCGATCGTATAGCGCGTTCGTTAGCGGCACAAATGGCTTCCGATATTCGGGAGTTGGAGAATGGTCCAGAGGCTTCTGGGTATCTTATTAAGCTTGGATTAGTTCAACTACTCGATAGATGCCTCAAGGCTATCCCAAACAAGCCTACGGTAGCTCATGTCCTTCTTGGATTTAGATGTGTTGGAAGTTCCCTTGATGTGGCACCAGGTAGCCTTTTTGACAACGGCCTTTCATTGCTACATGCTATCAGTGATTTTGTCAGGACCTATCCGGATGGCAATCAAGGCATGATAACATCATGGATGGTGCATTTAAAGCGATTGGCATTCCAGGTACTGCAATATCTTTGGACTTCGGCGCTCTCTTCGCCACTTATCCTGCCTCAACTTCGTGCAAATCGGCTGCTCGCAAACATTCTCATATCTCAACCCGTAATCGGCCCTGACTTGCTTTGGGATGAGTTCCGAATAACGGTGCCCGAATTCTGGTTTACAGAATCTGCCGTGGCACTTTCGGAGTTCCTTGTCTATCGCAGCATTATCTTTGACTATGCAACAACCGAAATAAGAGCTGTGTTTAATAAAAGCTCTCCTTCCTTCCAGAAAGATATTTTATCAACGTTGCTTGGCGCTTCAGTAGCTGAAGATGGGCAAACAATCTCCCACCCTTCAATTTTTGATTTGTTTGACTTTGCGGACCTGGACATCGATTGGGCATACGCTTTCCCTGATCTAAAATTTTTTAGGGATGTGGACGTGAGTTTATGCACCACGCCTCAGCAAGATGGCCATCCAGTTTTATATGATCTCCCAAGCGTGGAATCCCTTCTCCAGCTTGCAAAAGACCATCTTGTTAGTGCTGGCCAAGTCAACGCTCAGGAAGAAGATCAAATCTCGTCGGAACGCGATAAGCTTCTCCTCTTCCTCCGTGCTACGAATCAAAGCTGCCAAGTCCGCTATAATCGTCTCGTCGCTTTAAGATCTTGGGTGGAGCTGGTTATCACCGTTTTGATTACTTGTGACATGGAACCTGCTCGTATGGTGACACTTATCTTACACACTCTTCAGGCCATTCTTCCCAAACTTGAGAGTTCTTTTGCTGGGAACGCAGCAGAAGCTATTGAATTAGCTCGTCTGGCGGAAACTCTGGTTGAAAAGCTAGACACCGTTTCGACAAACAGCACTGAAGATGTCATAGATGAGCGCCTACATCACCTTTTCCAGGCTTGTATTCGTGGCATCCCCAACATATTAGAAGAGACGGTCTTGAGGGAAACTTTTTATCACATTTGCTCCAGATATCTTACACGAATTACTCAGAGAAGTACGGCCAAAGCTCGTTTCGGACCCCGGGCCCAGCAAGTTATCAAATCAACAGGTTCGGGCCTAGTCGATACTATTTGCGACGACGCCTATTCCGGTGATGAAGGTTGTAGAGTGTCGGCCCTGATATTACTGAATCTTCTTTCTGTTCTCGATGAACAGCAGTCATCTTCTATTCTCGTGACCTTGATCTCTCAGTCTAATTATCTTTCTATGTTCCTTGGTGTCATCAGAGCCATGGCGTCAGAATTCCGAAACACCCAAGCTGCACGTACGTATCATCCAGATTCTCTCGTGGACCGTTGGCTAAACTAAATCATAGAGACGGCCCAATTGCTACTATTTTACGAAGCTCTATTGTCACTCCTCCAACAACTGTCGCAAACGAAAATGGGTGCTATTCGCCTTCTTGATGCAGGTCTATTTCAAGCAGTCAAGGAATCCCAGATTTTTGCGGCTGACCCCGATATCGGTTTAGGTAGGTGTAGATAACCTTATTTATCTCCAGGCAGCTAACTTCTTTGCCTAGACATCGATAATCCCGATGCTCTCCGTAAATATTATGACCTCCTTCTATCTGTGCTTCGAGTCATTGTCTCTACCGTTTTCACACGGGGCTTACACAACAATCAGATTGTCGAGCAAACTAGAAATTTCCTGTCTGAAAACCGGCAGAGTATGGTTGGAATTTTCAAACGCTATGCTAAAATTGGAGGGCTTGAAGGTGTCGGAACACAGGAGTCTCTAGAAGAGCTTGTCAAATCATACGTTGCATTGATTGCCGCTGTTGACTTCCTTGAGGTAAGTAATACGTCAACCTCCCTTTTTTGGATATTAAAAGGCACTAATGGCCGTAGTTTGAGGAGGAGCAATCGGAGCAGCCAGCTGGACGAAAGTTATTCTCATGATTCTTTGTTGATGTATCATGAGGCTGGGATTCGGTGCTATGGAGGCAGATTTTCCAAGACTAGAAAAAATACTCTTCAATCAAGATACCCCCGTCCATATATTTATCATTTCCACCTTATTATATACTCATAGAGCCAGTAATGTATGACAAATTGATGACTTCACACAGGGTAGATCAAGCTGGTGGGTTTCCGTTCAATGATTGTGAAGAGATATAATTTCAAAATACAAAAATCACAAAGATATCAAATATATATATTATCAGGCCCCAAAATTCTACATCACAGCAACTTCATCCTGCTGTGTTACTCATTGTGGCCCCCTTAGTTCTCGTTCTCCTTCTCGTGTTACAAACGTTGAGTGGAGTTTAGCCAAGCTTATCTCCGAGCAAGCTCCCGTGAACCTAATCACAACTTCAGACTGATAGTCACGTCAGGATCCTTATCTCATCAAAAGTTGTTCCCACTCTGTGCCTTCACAAACCGCAAGTCCAGGTAACAATCCATCATGAATACATTGTATTTGTTCTCAAGAAATTGCTAATCCCCCTAATTATCGAAAATTAGATGCAGAATCACGGGACACGTGGGACGCGCAAACCAGGCGGCAAGAGGAAGCTCTGCGACGGAAACTCAGAAACAGCCGAAGACTTGGTACGAAATAGTCAAGGCACAATTCCCGATCTTTTCTCGAGGGGGAGGAATACCATATTTGGCCATAAGAGTCGGCAACTGTCACCAACGAGCAAACGGCTGAAGCGGAACGAACTTGATCCCCAGCAGCAAAGCCCGTCCAAACAGTCGCAGCCAGCTCAAGAACGTATCCCCGTGGAGAGAATGTACAACTTTCCGAACCAAAGCGCCAAAAGCTCCTCGCTAGGGCAGCAAAACAGTCGCACCGTCCCGCGGACGTACCTAAACCCATCGTCTACCCCGTCGAACTTCACACCTCACACCGGGCCTAAGCGGCTCACTGTCAAGAACCTCCGAGTGGTGCCAAAACTTGACCAAGAGCAATATTTTGAGAAGATCTGGGCTCAGCTTAACACCGCCTTAACGGCGATCTTTAATGAACAAAAGCCGTCGTTCTCATTAGAGGAGCTGTACAAAGGGGCTGAAAATGTTTGCCGCCAGAAACGTGCCCAGAGCTTAGCAAAGAAGCTCCAAGAGCGCTGCAAAGTTTACATATCCGAGAGTGTACTCCCATCCTTGCTGGCAAAATCGAAAGATAGTGACGATATTGTTGTGTTGCGGGCGGTGGAGGCAGCATGGTCGGCGTGGAGCTCCCGTTTAGTGAGTTATCGGGTGTCATTCGTCTATAATCGACCGCGACTAACCCCTGTTCCCGCAGGTTACAATACGATCGATATTCTACTACCTAGACCAGTCCTTCCTTCTTCGCTCCCCGGAGCACCCAACCATCTATGAAATGGGCACGATCGGGTTTCGGTCTATTGTCTTCTCCAACCCATCTCTCAAGCCGAAAATGCTGCAAGGAGCATGCCAGCTAGTTGATCTTGACAGAAATAATGATGCATCTTCTGATTCTACGTTGCTCAGGAACGCTATCAAGCTATTCTCGGACCTAAGAGTTTACAAAAGTGAATTCGAGCCCGCTATGCTGGAGGCTTCAGACAGATATTTAAAGGCATGGGCGGATAATGAAGCGAATTCGAGTTATCTTGCTACATACGTGAGTAAAAGTCACCGGGTTATTGAAAAGGAGATGGAGAGATGCGATCTTTTCAACCTTGATATCGACACAAAACAACGCCTATCGGAAATGCTTGATAAGCGCCTGGTATCAGATCAAAGTGACACGCTTCTAAAAGAAAGCGACGTACTAGGCCTCCTCAGGACAAGTAACCAAATTGCCCTTGGGGAGCTATATTCACTACTACAGAGAATCGACCTGGGATCGAAGTTAAAACCTGCGTTTACCTCTTTCATCTTAGAAGAGGGCTCTTCAATTGTTTTTGATAAGGAAAGAGAAGGCGAAATGGTCGTTAGGCTTCTCGATTTTAAACAAAACTTGGATGATATCTTGGCAAAGTCCTTCCAAAAGGATGAGCTTTTAGCTCGCGCTCTCAGGGAGTCATTTGAAACGTTTATCAACAAGAGCCAAAAGGGTGGTGATGTTGCCCAGCCTGGAGAAATGATTGCAAAACATGTGGATCTACTGCTTAGGGGGGGACTTAAATCGATCCGCAAACGCCAAGTCCCACTGAAAAATGACGAAGACATTGCAATGATTGACGAGGATGCCGAACTAAACAAAGCACTTGATCAGGTCCTTGATCTGTTTCGTTTCGTTCATGGCAAAGCAGTCTTTGAGGCATTCTATAAAAATGATCTTGCTCGTCGTCTCCTTATGGGAAGAAGCGCCAGCGACGATGCAGAAAAGAGCATGCTGGCTAGATTAGCATCAGGTAAGTATTTCTATGGCGGTATTTGTCTCTTGAAAGATACGGTTGCTGATTTTCGAAAATTAAGAATGCGGTTCAAACTTCACACACAATCTCGAGTCTATGTTTAAGGACATAGATCTTGCTCGTGATGAGATGGCTTCATATAACGCTCTACTGCGCGAAAAAAGGGAAAAAACAAATTTGGACCTTTACGTCAACGTCCTTTCATCTGCAGCCTGGCCGTCTTACCCAGATGTGCCTGTAAAAGTGCCTCGAATAATATCGAGCGCACTCTCCGATTTCGAGCACTTTTACAACAACAAGTATAACGGCAGGAAGCTTAATTGGAAACACTCTCTTGCCCATTGTCAATTGAAGGCGAGGTTTCCTAGCGGTAACAAGGAGATCGTTGTCAGTTCGTTCCAAGCCATTGTCCTGCTCTTGTTCAATGATGTAGCAGATGGACAGACGTTATCCTATCATGATATCCGGGATGAGACAGGTCTTTGTAAGTTGACGGGAATAGGATCCTGCGTCAGCAATAAATCCTCAGGATTCAAACTAACAGACAAAATAGCCGATATTGAATTGAAGCGTACACTTCAATCCCTTGCATGTGCTAAATACCGAGTCCTCATCAAACATCCAAAGGGAAGAGACATTAACGCAACTGATACCTTTAGTTTCAACACCAGGTTTTCAGACCCAAAGATGCGGATTAAAATTAACCAAATCCAGTTGAAAGAGACTAAAGAGGAAAACAAGGAAACGCATGAACGTGTTGCGGCAGACAGGAATTACGAAACCCAAGCAGCCATTGTGCGCATCATGAAGAGCCGGAAGACCATTTCTCCGCAGGAGCTTATCGTAGAGGTGATTAAGGCAACAAGGAATCGCGGTGACTTGGACCCAGCGGATATAAAGAAAAACATCGACAAGTAAGTAGCGAGCATTCCTTCTTTGCACGTATTTACTTGAATGGCTATGATGGGTTGCTGACGTACGACTTCTTTTAGGCTTATTGAAAAGGAGTATATGGAACGAGACACGGAGTCAAATAAGTACAAGTATATAGCATAAAAGCGCTTGCACCGAGTACCGATCAGATGCGTCTCTGCCTAACTAACTTAATATACGTTCAATGTGCCGGGATGATTGTCCATTAGTTTACCCTTTTACTGACCTTTAATCACTACTTGTGTTATTTCATGAAGCCAGAAGAAACTTTGAAGAATCCACCCACAATAATTCAGTCTCCCTTGTAGAAGTCGGGTAGGATTTATTATAGGTGATGTTTATGATATTTCCTGATTCTGGTGCGAAGAACGGAGTACGCCCTACTCCGTTGAATGTATTGTTGGTCCGGGGTTGGGCGGTGGATTTCTCGCTGCTTCTGGAGTTGCCGAATCACGCTAGTTAACCGATAGAACCCTCCAGAAGCCGGCGCTGGTTGCCCAACTAACTGGTGGGGAGTAGCCCCGATCAGATAAGATAAGAAACCCCCCCGGAACGCGCTAGCTTTGCCACTTTGGTCACGGAGGGTCATCAACGTCCATACCAACAAGACTTTCGACAGCAGTATCCAAGGAAAACTTCTTGCTCTGCCTTCTCCGTAGGTTACTCTTATATTCTTCTGCTGCCGACCGACATAGGACCTTGAATTCGCGTTTGCGTGATCGGACGGCGGAAATTCCCGAATCGGTAATCCGAAAAAGGTTCTGGAACGTCCATGGGAAAAGGCCTTTGGCGGCTTCATCTGATGTGGAAATTCCTGCAGGATCTATGGTGGCTCAACAGGTTTCATGGAATACTTTTGAACGGCGTTTTACATACAACTCCAGGCCGTGCCTTGAATGGCTATTAGAAAAGACGTAGGGCTGTGACCGCTACCAGGAGAAAACAAGTAGTATATTAGTTCGCTATTCCAGTTGGCTGACTACTGTAGTTAGCTGTCTGTCCTGGGCCGGCCGGGAAGTCAGCTGCAGAAGGTTTCTCCGCATTTATCGCCTTGGAAAGCTTGCACCACACGCCACGCGCAGGCTTTCCTTGCCGCAAGGAATTTTTGTTAAAACGAATGCCGGACAGCGTAATAATCCCGCAATTGAGTCCACTTGAGCAGCGCATTCATGGACTGTCGTGGTATTGGTATTGTCTTATACATGTTGTGACGCATGAAGCTTCACTGTGTCGATTTTCTTGTCCCTAGGCACCATTCATTCCCCGGTCAGCGGCTCTGTACAACGGACGGGGTCTTTGCCCCTCCAAGATGAAATCGCCTCTATGTGCAGCCCCGTCCCCTCGCCTTCTTCATTGTCAATTCCTCCAACAGCTCTGATATCTCGTTACTTCGGACCTCCCAGCCATTCATTCATTACGCTTTTCTAAATACTGCAGGGCCTATCGCCTTGAGCGAATCCAGCCTCTGGAAGAGGTCTATTTCAAAATGCAGAGTGATACACCCAAACGTCCAACAAAGAGATATGATGGACTAGTTTCTAATAAGTTTCTAGCCAAACACTTTTTCAACGACCCAACCCACCTTGTCAGTTCTGCCTTACGCTCGCTGACTCTCACCAATCCGTCGCTCGCTTTCGACGAAGAGAATAAGATTATTTACAGACGCCCAACGGGGGATGCATCCACACAACCTAAAGTCTCAATCGTCTCCGGCGGAGGCTCCGGCCACGAACCCGCTTTTGCCGGGTTTGTTGGCAAAGGCCTCCTGACGGCCTCCGTGGCTGGAACAATATTCGCTTCCCCGTCCGCAGAGCAAGTCAGAAGAGCTGTGATGCAGCGAGTAGAAGTTTCCAAGGGTGTGCTTATTATCATAATGAATTATACGGGTGACGTGCTCAATTTTGGAATGGCGGCGGAAAAGGCAAAGGCAGCTGGGATTAAAACCGAATTCTTTGCCGTTGGAGATGACGTTGGAGTTGGAAGGACGAAGGGAGGGAAGGTAGGGCGAAGAGGCATTGGTGGTGGGATTCTTGTGCTGAAAATAATCGGAGCTTTGGCGGAAGCCGGGTACGTTATGCGCTGGGATATCGCGTGCCAGATGACAGATGTTGCTGACTGCAGATTGTGCCTAGGGCTTCGCTGAGCGAAGTATATGCGACCGCAAAACTGGTTGCAAAGAATGTTGTGAGCTTAGGATCGTCCCTGGAGCATGTGCACGTCCCCGGAAGAGAGACTTCAGACGCTTCAGAGGTGATACCTGAGGGTGAGATTGAAGTGGGGATGGGAATTCATAACGAACCTGGCTCTCATCGAGTCAAAAACACATTGGAGGAGCTGATACAGACCATGCTCAAACAGCTTTTAGATCAGGATGACAAGGATCGAGGATTCTTAAAATGGGATTCTCCAGACAAGTTTGTCCTTTTCATCAACAACCTTGGAGGTGTCAGTACCCTGGAGCTCTCTGGAATCACTGCCGAGACGATCCTTCAACTGGAGAGAGACTATCACATTAAGCCAGTCAGAACAATCCAAGGAACGTTTCTGACCAGTTTGAATGGAATGGGTTTCAGCATCTCGTTACTGAGGCTAGTTGACACTAGACTTGGACAGGGAAGATCTCTGCTGGAGCTTTTGGACGCCCCTGCTGAGGCTGTTGGATGGGCTGCTCCCATCCAAACATCGACCTGGGAAAGTCAATCCGATGCTACATTCGAAGGTCGACGAGCGTCGTCCGTTCAAGAAGCCCCTTCCAACCTAAAAGGCAAGTCCGGAACCCATGAGTCCAATCACATCCCAACTAACCAATTAACAGTGAATATCTCCGTTTTCAGGAAGGCTGTGTTATCCGGTCTAAACCGGTTGATCGCCGCAGAAAGCACAGTAACTCGCTACGACACCGTCGTGGGCGATGGGGACTGTGGTGTCGGCCTAAAACGCGGAGCAGAAGCTATCGTCAGTCTTTTGAACAATCCCTCCGTCCCATTAAACGACGATATTCTCTGTAGCCTAAACAGAATCATCAGCTTAGTCGAAACTACCATGGACGGCACGAGCGGTGCCATCTACGCTATTTTCCTTAACGCCCTTGCGCATGGCCTCCGCGAGCAAGATTCTCCATCTAATTCAATATCGGTCACTGCCAAGGTCTGGTCACGGGCGCTGCAACAATCATTGAAGGCGTTAGCGAAGTATACCCCTGCCCAACCCGGGGATCGGACACTCATCGACGCACTGGTACCTTTCATTAATAAACTGGCTGAATCTGGGGATGTTAAAGCCGCTGCATGTGCGGCGCAGGAGGGTGCCGAGTCCACTAAGAGCATGAAAGCTAGTTTAGGAAGATCAGTGTACATCGGTGGTGAAGATGAGTGGATAGGTAAAATTCCAGACCCTGGGGCATATGGCCTGAGTGAATTCCTGAATGGCTTGGCCGATGGAATTTGAATAACACGGATGGGATATTGGTTAATAATATTGATGGCTCGCGCATATAATTTTCAACTGTTAAGCTATAGTTTAGAACATCAGTTGTATTTTTAGCCAACACAAGAATGCGAGGCTTTGTGAATACCAGACAACACGAATATCGCTCAAACAGGAGCAAAAAGATTTTCATCAATGAATCGACAAGAGCTCTCATCTCAAAGCGAAATTTCCATTCAAGCATATGATTAGCTAAGATTTCCCCTTCTGTTGGCGGTTAAATGAAACTCGACAGATAGATCGCCTTCGACCTATGTAGTCAAAAAGCATAGAAGCGACCAACAACGCCAGCGACGCCGATGTCTATTATACTTATTCCATCCAGCCCAGGAAGAGAAACGTAGGAAGAGAGGAAGCGAGTCCGAGAAAATTTCACTTCCAAGAGCCGCTCAAATCTTAAAATCGTGACGTGTAATGTGGTTTGAAATAATTGGGTGATAGTAGGGAGGCAGACGCATCACTATAGATGACATGGCAAGCGTACGACGAGGTCGGGGGATAAGGGTTTGGGTGGGAAAACGGAGGTTTAGAATTTGTGGTGAGACAAGGGATGACCCCGCTCAGCTGAGAAGGACCAGGATGACGGAATCTCCTCTCAGGAACCTGTAACGAGATTAGTGAGCCCGAAGTCACAGAACAGATGGGATGGGTGGCCTCTTCGCCCTGTTGGATCGAGATGATGTCGGAAAGGGAAATTTGACCATACTCACATCTTGCTAACGAATCTATCCTTGTTCACACCCTTGCCCTTGCCGCCCTTTGGCTTCTCCGTCCACATCTCCTTGACGTTCTCGAGGACCATGTTACAATGGCGGTCAAAAGCCTTTACTCTGGCGAGGAGTTTCCGGTTATTTCGGCAAGAGATGAGGACTTGGGAGTGAGAGCGTGTAGCAGTTTGAAGGATGGAGAGAGGGCCGGTGGTGAGCTCGTGCTCTTCGAGTAGAGAGACTTCGTATTCACTATAGGAGAGATGAGTGAACCGAGTTAGCAGGGGCGAGCCAGAGGGCATGAGACGGAATGTTGGGAATGCATGGAAGCATTGGCGTTGCGGGATCGCCGGATCATGGAGTGGATGATGGATCCGAGAGAGACAACGTACGTGAGCTCGCTACGAGGCTTGTTCAATAGATCTCTGTTGGAGGAGGAGTCATGTTAGCTCAGGTAGCTTGAGACTTGGATTGGATTGATCAAGCACAGGCTGCAAGGACGGCCCGACGAGGAGGGTTCGCATCCGGGTCATCTGACCCAGTAATGCAGACTTACTGTATCTTAACGTCAGACATCTTGCGCGGGTATATAAGGGTCGACGGGGACGCTCGAATGGTTGCGCGGTTTCAACGCTCTCATCAAAGCTCGCTGCGGTGCTCGTTTCGCTAAGACACGCCCAAGGCCCAGTCTACTTTCGGACTAGCGTGCCAAGCTGTAAGTGTTTGGGCGCGGATAATTTGCGGTGCCGGTTCCGAGGTCACGACGCGTGCTGACAGCACTAAACCGAAATTGGAGCTAGATCGTCTTTAGTGCCGAGCTTCAAGGTTTCGCTGCATCGCGTCTCCTCGCGGGTCACTCTACACGCTCGCTCTTTCGTCCCTCACCTCCCAACCTCTCTCACTCTCTTCCAGTTGTCACGGATCCCAGCAGCTGAAAGGTTTGAGAGCCGTACGTCTGTCGATTCCTTTTGTTCTCCTTTTCTTCCTTTTTCTTTCCTTAGTTGGCCCCTTTCCAGCCTTCATCTTCGCGTCACCGCCAATCTTCCTCGCCTCACGCACCGAGTTACGACTTAGCATCTACCCTTACGTCTTTCCTTGTTTGCGTGGCCGAACTTGAACGAGCAACTTAAGATCGATTTCTTGAATAGTTGACGCTAATTGGGCGACTTCACTCAATTTCTCGTGTACATGGTCGCCTCGGTTATGGAACGCACAAGATTTTAGAGTAGTGAATTACAGGAAGACCGTCCTTTCGTGTATTCTGTGGTGACTCGATACCGGGGTTATCGGTGAGCCTGTGGGCTCTGAGAAATACCTTTTTCAAGCCGCTGGCCTCAGTCTCGCAACGGCTATCATGGAGGACCAAGATGGCATCTCGATTCGTCCAATGAGGCGTGAGTTGGCCATCTCTTCCCATGATCCTGCGTAGATGCTGATCTAATTTCCCCCTTAGTCAAAGTCCTCTATACCTTTGATGACGAAAGCAAAACAAACTGTCTTGCCCGGTGGCCTCACGTGCTTCAGATTCAGACGGCTTTCTTGGACGAAGACATACAAGTTGGCGTGATCGAGCTTAAGACTTGTATCCAGGCCATAGTTTCGGCAAGGTATGACTCATTCACTAGGCTAACATTCAGCATTCATTAACATCGAGGCACCTGGCCTGAAATCTAGCCCAGAATTGGTTGCAAAGCTCGGCCGAGACTACACCGTTTACGCATACGATTATTCCGAGTATGAAACCCCACTGGTGGGACAAGGGATGTTGTCATGGGTCCTAGCTTCGTCTTCTCCGACACCTAATGCACCGGCTCATCAGTCAAGAACCATGGTCACTGGACGCGTGTGCCAAAATGCCGGCCTTTTTGCAAGGGGTGCGCAGGAAACGCTCGAGGTCAAATTGAGATTGGTACCGGTACCGTCGATTTTACAAAGCGAGTACCTCAACAGCATGCAGAAGTATAGGGAATTAAGCACCGTAATTCCACAGGACTTCGACGCACAGGCCTGGACCAGCTTTGTTCAATCCAATCCCGGTTTATTCGCAGGCAGCGATGCAAACCCAGTGGCTGAGCGTGATGCTGTGGATAGGTCAGGGATTGAGAATGTTCATCGAATGTTAAGCGAGGGATCAGGGCCTCGTGATCTTTCCAATCTCAACAACTTCCACGCTGACTCACCAGCCCAATTCACGAATGCTACCCCCAGTCGTACTTCGACTCCAGGAATTGTGAGACCTATGAGCCAGCAGCAAAAGAGAAATGTCGACGAGACATTTAGACCCTCTTCGAGAGGGTCCGTTCAACATCCTAATGCTCCTACCCGTCGTCGAGGCTCTATCATGTCAGGATACGGAAGTTCAGATGAGACTGCTGAAGGCCCAGTGCAAAAAAGGGCAAAGCTTATGAGGGCTGATTTAGACAAGACAAATATGAACATCGAACGCCAGCCTGGATCCCTTCGCGTTGCCGCCAGCACGGCCGCTTCTGTCAGAATACATCGCCCGACACCTTTAAATCCCACCATCCAGGCAGCTCAGGCTTCAAACGAAGACCCCGTTCGCCCACCTACACCTGTTCCGTCTGCAGTCAATGCACCAACTCGTCGAATAGGCCGTCCTCCTCAGAGTAACCTTCGACGTCAGTCATCAACTTTCAGTCAGCATTCGCACGGTCCTCCATACATGTCCGAGGAACGGCGTGCCGCGGAAATGACATCCGGCTCCCCGCCTGATGAGATGCGTTATGCTATATCCTCCGAGACCCCATTCAATATGCCATCCTCACCACCTGTAATGGATATGACGTGTCCCCAAACCTCTAGTCCGGTTCTTCCACCACTACCAGATCAGGACTCTGGATTCATGAGTGGAAACTTTGAACCCCTCGACGATGAAAACGCAAATAATGAGTACCACAATACCCAACAACAGAATAATTTGACAGATATGGCCAACTCACACACATCTTCGAGACCCGCAGTTCCTTCTGCAAGCGGAAACCCGGCCGCCGGTCACCAGCATAGACAGATTATGAGTGATGGCACGATGTCAGCCAGAAATCCCGCACCAGTTCTTCCGCCTCAGCCAAGAAAAGCGGCTGGTTCTCGGCCTTCGTCTAGAGCAAGCGTCAGAGGTTCGAAACCACTCGCTCCAGCCCCAGCTCCTGTTCGGCAAGCCGATGTAGGCCAGTCCCGGCTACCACTACCTCCTGTTCCCGTTAGTGATCCAGTACAACCACTGCAACACCCAATCAACGCCCAAACTCCGTCTTGTCCCATGAGTGACATGCCGATGGTATCTACTCCTGGATCCACAAACTTTCCAGATGGAAAGATCCGGAGTGGTGCTGGAGCAAGACGTGTGAAGCAAGTTCAAGCTCGTCTAGACCAATGCATCAAGCAGGGCACAGTGCCTCCATATTGCGAAAACTGTGGAGCCATTGAAACCACAACGTGGAGGCGGGCGTGGTCCAAAGTCATTGAAGGAAGTGCGGAAAATGCGAACGCTTGCATTAACGATCCGGGAATGCTATTCTGGGAGGCAGTTGACACTGAAACCGATGGCACTGTTACATCTTATAGGCAATTTAAGAAATCATTGGCGAACGAGGACAGGGACTACATACAACTTCTCCTTTGCAATCGTAAGTGGCTTTTCACACGCGACTCTTGGTACTTTAAACTAACCAAAGACAGCTTGTGGATTATGGCTTCATAAGTTCAAGAACATGCGCCCTGAGAACAAATGGAACAAGCCCCCAAACAAAGATAAAAGAAAACGCAAGTCTAATAGAAGGCCTCCGGCGGTCCCTGCAGCGTCAACCCGCTCACAGATGAGGCTCCTGGCGGCCAAACGCTCCGGGTCCTCGCCACCCCCAACGGAAGCTTCGTCTCCTCCAGAAGAAACAACGCCAAAAAACGGGAACAGTGTGGGAAACAATGGTGTTTCCCAGCCGCATTCCAATAATAGAAGAGCGAATAGTGCAGAACCGCCAAAATCGACCAATAAAAATGACCGTTGGCAACAAGAAGACGCATTTGAGGCACTAAGAAGAGCAATTCAGTCCAGTCCCGCGAGGAACATGGAGGCACGCAAAGTGCCGTTTATGGAGCCCAATCTGACCCCCAATCCTGTTCGAAGAACTTTGTTCCAATCTTCGAAAGAGGACAGTGCTATGAAAACTCTCAGTGAAGCTTTGGTTAACAGTGTCAGACGCAGTCCTCGGTCAACTCCAAAGAATTCGAAACAAGGAACGGGCGCAGAATCTAACAGCAAATCTCCAGGTGACGGCCTTGACCACCTTTTTGAAGGCGGGGAAGATGCATTCCTTGATATTGACCCCCCAAACAGCCCAACTCCAAGGCAAAAGAACCGAACTCCAAATACACGAACGGTTAATAAAGAAAATGTCGGCGTGCCATCAGAGCAGCCAAAAGAGTTTACTTCGTCTGAGAATCAGCAAACCCTTCAGGAGTCGCCAAACGCCGCTAAGGGCCAGAACGGCGATATTGGCACTTTGTCGCTTTGGAATAGCCCAAATTCAAAAAATTTTGAAACCATTAACGGCTTGGTTCTGAATATTTTCGAATCAGACGATGAGTCTCTTACGCACACAGATTCCTTTCAGCCTTTCGTACCCCCCAAAGCCCCTGCAAGCGGCGATTGGGTAGATTGGGATCCCGACTGTGTCTCACCTAGAGATTCTCAGATAGCTGAGGGAGGAGCAAACGAGCAATCCGGCCGCATTCCCGCGGGCCTTAATGACGATAATACTTCCCCATCAATTGTTGATGGTTTTCAAAATAAAGAGGCCCAGGCCCCGAATGATGCTTCCAACATACAAAGTGGCGAAGATGCCGAATTTCGATCCCTCCTTCTCGCAACTGCTACTGGATATACTGCTTTCAATGATTCGTCTGCAATTTCGGACACCGATATCTTTGATCCAGCCTTGGTTGATCCACAGTTGCTTAGTGGTATGTGGAGCAAAGATGGCAGCATTGCTGCGTCCCCGTCCGGTGGAAAGAATAGTGGAGTGGATCAATTCGACGCTGAGGTTTTTTCAGCCATTATTCAGGAGGTTACCGGGAAGCCTAGCAGTACCTAGGACAATCGACCAGGTTTAATATAAACCTGGATAACATATGTGGGTGCCAACTTCAACTATTGCATGGAACCCGGATAGCGGAGTTGATTATTTGTTCATATTCATTTTGTTGATTTCACCGGACTCACATTGGTTCGTTTCAGCCCCTTTTCTTTAGGTTTCCCGGTCAGTTTAGCAATCTCCATCTTTGCATGTATCCCTTGTGTTTCTTTGTTTGATCCAACTTTGACTCGTGAAACATGTCCTGTCTATGATAAATGTAGCTATTGTTATGTTAGTGGAGTTGGAAATACTCCCTCTCCATATCTAAATACCGATGAGGCCTTTGTTGCCATGATCTCATATAACTTTCAACCCAATTGCCAATTCTGAATTTCGCCCTAGTTTAGCATAGTTTTGATTTACTTCATCCTCTTCGCAAGAACCAGTTGTGGCTCTTATCCCCTTGAACTGCTGGATCAAGTTGAGCTATGTAAGCTACAGCAGTGAGGGACACCTTTATGTATCGCCACAAAAGATAGGGCTTCTAAGCTGTAGGGATATATGCCATATATCCACTAGATACCAAGGACAGGATGTAGTTATAGGCAGAACACAAAAATTTATATCTGCTCTTGTAGTGGTTGTTGCAGAGGATTGAGGCGAGTATACATATGAATATATCTATGCCAATTATTTCATTGTAGTTTACTGAACATGGTCAATATTACCCATACTCGAGCTATGCTTTTACAGAAATGTTGATCATAGAATCATGATCGCGTACGCCAATAACGCCGTGTCGTAAGGTAGGTGATCAGGTATATCGCAACAGGATGAACAATGTTCTGACTCGGATCCGGCGGCTCAACCTAACCAGGCACATTTCACAGGACATAGCCGGTCCCTGAAAGCAAAAAGGAAGCCCATAGATCCCGTTCGAGCCAGAGAAACCCCTGCGAAGACCGGGAACGTGTTGATTCCGATACCTTTTCATTCATTATTCACGAATTCGGAGTATAGAAAATATTCTTAAATCGATGTGTCATCTCGACAACACGCTCGTATATTTTATAATCTTCCACAAGAAGAAAAGAGTCAGTGAAATTATCTCCTATAGGAGCGGGAAAAAAAAAAAGGAAACGACTGTCGAGAGGGTGCCCTACCAAAATCATTCGGTTCCCCGCAATCCGCTGCCCCCAAGACGCGTATAGCGGTTTCCTGATCATTCCTCACACATTAGCGTTCTATCTTCAATCGCACTCACCTTCATCGTTAAGCCCCGAGGCTAAATAAGTCCACATAAACTTACCCCTTCATGCTCTACCACCTTCCCCACAACATCAACCATTCTTCCAATCTGTAGGTGCGAATCCCGATTTAGCAGCAGGGTAACCTGTCCATGATCTGGGCACGATAGCGTTGCGGTCTCGCCGTGCAATTTGGCGACGCTTCCAAAAATGCGAACGGGATTGGGAGTGCGGTTTGTCGCGGAGGGCAGAAAGGCATGGAGATGTTCGGGGAGGATCCGTGGGGTTGTCAGAGCCATGGTGGACATACAGGAGCGTGAGGTGGAAAGGATTATTGGAGAGTATCCAGATTGATTGTTGTCAACAATTGGCGTTATGCGCAGGTCCAGAGGCTCAGATTTAGAGCAAATACAAGTTAATTGATGTTTGATTCCGCCGGTGAGACGCGTTTGATCCGGTGAGTCAGCAAGATCTGATAAGATTCCCAAGATAAGATTACTAACAAGCGGCTGGACAGGGGAACCTGACCAATAGCTCGGCATACTGATTCGGATCCACTGCGCAGACCAATCTAGATAATTAATAATAATTCATTATAGTCTTATGCAGTCAGTGACTATGAAGACTACCCAGAGGGATTTTTGTAAGATAGTATATGTTAGATACATAATTTAAGAAATTCCAGTATGTCAAGGCAACGTTAGATATTCTTCCACTAAAGAAGTAAGAGAACAAGAGATTGGATGGGCACACAAATTGCTTATTGGTGTAGGTTCTTTATGAACACCACTAAATTCAGTTATTGCATTATAGAGATACTCAGATACCAATCTAGAAGAGGCACATGAAGTACTTTGCGAAAGAAATCAAAGAGCAAGGAAGAATAGACATTACAATTTATGTGCTAATCAAGAGCTATATATGCATTCCAGTGTACGGGGTAAGGCATAGTTACACACATTTCATGGGATTACTTTGGCGATTCTCATACGTTCTAGTGCAGTAAACCAAGAAAGCTTCGGGTCTTCCTCCTCACTAAATCCAGTCGACTTGAGCTTTTGGAGACTGAGTGGTGCATCAGCATTGAGCTTGGTCAAGGCCCAATTTTTGTCCGAGGGGTCCATTGTCGGTGAAATAACCGTCCAGCCTTTCAACCCATATTCCTTTACCATCCTATTCCACTCACTTTTGTGGGCTTCCACATATTCTTGGGGCCCCATGCTCTCCGTCCTATCCTTCCATTTGTCTAGCGGAGGTGTGCCAACAAGCCCAAACCAGGAGCATATGGCGGGCCATTTTATGTCCCAGCTCCATGGTGTCTCAGACGACGCAAGATTAAAACCCTGGCCTTTAATAGCTGGATCAGGCAGTACGGATAGGTGGATAGCCGCCTTTGCGATCATATCTGCCCCGCTATCGTTGCTGAGAGCCTTCCAAACTCCGAAACTTCCCGGAAAGGGGCACTCGGCTTCCCTGCCGTTGATGTACACATACAGCGAGAGGTAAGCCGCAACTGGATAAACAGCGTTATACACGTTGAGTCGGGGAACGAAACCTATCAAGTCGGTCGTGTGGCATTAGACGTTCCGTCCTAAAAATGAGAAACTCGTGCATCTATGCACACAAACCAATTATGTCACCCGGCCTTCCCTCGCACCATTCCAGGCTTTGTCGGCAGAAAACTCTTCCATGAAGCGGCTGAGTCGGGAAAACGCAAACACGTCGCCAAATGGTGGCGGAAGCTGCGGAAGAGATTCTGAAAGTGGCAAAGGATGTTTAAAATCCACTGGAAAACACAACCCATATATAAAAGTGCCATATTGAAGGTAAATAAACTCAAGGCTTGGAGCCAAACTGTCGAGAATAGTAACGGCCTTGCGCAGCGCATTCAAGCTAATTGCATGTGGATCCTTGTCGTTGGGGTTAGGAGGAGGATCATGGACCGTTGAAGACTTCACAGTTAGAAATATATTCTTCCATATTCATCTGCGAGAATATTGGTTGCTCTCGTTTCCTTCCCAGCGGCATAACAAAGCTAAGCTAGTAATAGATGCCAAAATAAAGCGATCCCTCGCTGCCTCAAGGTTCATCATTCATGCAAATACCTAGATAGTAGACCTGTGTCACCGTATTAACATCGGGAATTTTCTCTTTGAACTTCCTCTTTAACACTTCCTCTGGGTCGTTATGGACATCAAACTCAGAGACAAGTCTCAGCCTTTCATCCTTGGGCCAATGCAAACATTCCTCTTCGCTCATAGGCTTTCTTGAGAGGGCCGTGATCTGGCTCCAAACTCCTGGTCGGGGATAATTACGCAGGAGTTGATTGGTGAAAGCCCAGCCAGAGATACCCGATGCACCAAGGACAAGGGCATGACGAGTCATTCTTAATTCTTCGGAGCTTCAGTCTCAAAAGATAGCTTGCACAAATGAGTCTCTGGGGACCGAGGTGGGGTTAGTCAAAGAAGCCCATTTCGGATCCCTAGGCGTAAATATGATGAGGTTCCTGTATGACGTCACGTGTTTTCGAGAATGCCTCGTCTCGTGGCACACGCGTCTCGTATCCTTCAACAGCAGCGCGGCGATTCAATGGCAATGTAGGTGGAACTGGCATGCATATACGGCGTACTTCATACGGAGAACTCTGTATTTGTCATCGAATCGCAATCATCACAGGCCAACGAAGTTCTCGCCCGGTTTCTATTTGCAAAATTGGAAGCACGGAAGAACTCCTTGGCACGACCTGGAATGATGCGGAGCGCTCGCAGCAAAACCTAATAAAATTTGAATATGCAGTTTTAGCACATGAAATTATGTAGTTTTTATCACGCTGTGCCGCTTGTTCACGAACAATATGGAAAGCCGAAGAGGTATTCAAGCTGAGAAACTAATAGAAGCAGACCCTAAGGTTTCGTTATCTCGTATGTGTTGTACATGCAGGAGGAAGACACCCACTAATAACTCGCAGATTATAAACAGGGAAGGGAGAACGATGATCGCCGGGCCAACTCCACAACAAATAGAGGCATGTTTAAGTAGAAATATGACAGCGCGGGGGAGGCAAAAAAAAAAAAAGGATAGCTAACAGGGTACGTGATGGCAATATGAAAATTGACCCAGCTTTTGTTAAGCGAAACCTGTCTGGATATCATGGAGGTGTACGGAGCAGAGTTGCTTGGACCGGCCAAGCAACGAGTCCAAGCTTCTGTACAAGATATGTGGAGTATTGGGAGAAAATATTTTCTTTTGATTTGAAAGAAAAAAGAAAGTTTTCAGTTCCCGCGGACCTCCTGGTACTTATGATTCCATTGTGATCGAAGAGCCATGTTACTGGTTTGTTCTGTGGCGAACTTGCTGCTTTCCATATTGAATTCTTTGCGGCCTGCCCTGCGTTGCTTGACACAGCAGAATGCAATAACAGCTGCGAAAACGGCGACCACAATACCGGCAGCGGTAAAGATACCTCCTTTTGCGCCTGCCGAAAGGTCATTCCATTTCTCCGACAGCGATTTCGGTGGTGGCTTGGACGCCTCCTCTGCAACCTTCGAAACTCCCCTAAAACAAGTCAGTAATCTTGACTATGTCAGAGCAATGCAAAAGGGTCAGAATCGTACTCAATAACCTTGATGCTCTTCCAGTCACCCGAGCGATCCCCATAGACGTATTCTTTTCCCTTGTGGAAGTCCTCAACTTTCAGTTGCTTAACTATCATTGTGTACGGGCCATTGCTGTAATCCACTTCACCGCCGGCCCACTCAATGGTACCCTTACGATTGCCCGGATCTCCGGCAGGCCAAATCCCCAGACGCACCGTGGCTGGTGTTTGAGGGTAAAACTTGCCGCCTTCGGCCTCTTCATATTTGAGGGTACGGACCAGCTGCTGATCAACCCACCATTCCAGCTTCTCAGCAGTCCAATGAACGGTATAATTGTGGATTGAATGCATCGGGTCATTGACTTCATGCTTCTTTCCGCGGTCGAAGCTAGTATCATTTCCCTTGCCGAAGTAATTTGTCTGGACATGACCCTGTTCAGAGCCGACCCATTCCCAGTCTATTTCATCCAGGTCTTCGGACTGGAGAACGACACTGCTAACGATTCCTTGACCAGTTGCCGCTTTCATATGCACTTCTAGTCTTCCAAAGAAAATGTAGAAGTTTGATTGAATAGTGGGCGACTGAAGCCTTTCTCTAATGGTGAATTCACCTCCTTTCTCTCCATTGATAACTTTTCCCGAGGTGGTATTCCAGACAGCAGCATTGAGAAGCCCGGTAAAGTTATATGTGTAATCCATGCCTAGTGCTGGGTTTGGCTTGCAATCGTCTCGCTTCAAAGGATTGCAGTCGGTCCATGTCTGCGCTATCGCTGGTGATATCAACCCGGCAATCAGGGCGAAGAGCCAGATAATCGACAGTCGCCCAGAGGCTGCCATTGCTGTAATGTATACTGACTCTAGATATGTTTTGTATAACTGCTGGTCTTGACGTGTTAAGGGAGTGTCGTGGTGATGTTTCGCTGTCAGAGAGTGGCACGCGGAAACATGAACGGAATTGCAGCGAGCGGCTTAGTCAAAAGGAGTGACGGACGGGGTTGTGTTGGGTCGGAAGGAACGACAGAGACATAAATGCCCCGCCAGGGGGAAGGAAGAAGGTCCAGGGAAGGAAAGAATGGCTCTGCTGATATATATTATTTAGGGAGCGTGCGAAGCTTTGGGAAAGGAAGGAATGACTTGAAACTGAAAAGAAGGGAAAGGAGAGGGTCCTGGAAAGCAGCAGTGAGGGAAAGAGCAATATTACCCTGTCCAAATGAGAAGGAGCCACAGGGATCGACTATTGCCGATCGTTTCTCTCTTTGGTTTAGTGAAAACAACTTAAAGTTGAGTTTCTAGTCTATATCGGGAATGGCGCCGGCGAAGTGCCCTGGGTCTGCTCAACTGAGCTTGGCATGGCAAGTCCGCTGGCGCGCAGTGACCAGAGCCCCTTGCGCCACGTTCATACCCGACAGCACAGACATTGGTCTAGACAGCATGTACAAGCTGGATGAGGTCCAATGACATGATACCTATGAAAGGTGGCCTCGAGAGAACACAAAAGACAGAACGTGGAAATGTCATTTGGCTTTTTGACTCCTTAATCTTGCGGGAAATGCAGGGTGGACGGGGTCTTGAACGGAAAACTCTGAAACCGGGCGACCAGTGTTTGGAGATCAGAGCCCCCATTGGCTAGATCACATAATTCAAAGATCGATCTATCATGTGGAGGCGATCTTCATCGGCACCGGAATAACACCCATCCGAAGCAGTCGGGCAAAATAAGCAAACATCATCCAAGTTCAACACGGACCGCCCCGTCGAGCTGATGGTAGCCATTCGCACAGCAAGCCGTCGGCCTCCTTCTTTAGGTCATGTTTCAAATTTAGTGAAAACATTTCGTCACTATGCCTCCTCCCACCTTCACATCCTCCAATCGTCGTATGACGGCAAACCCGCTTAAACCCGTAAAAAGATATCGACCCGGAAAGCCCATAGTCGAAGAAAGAGAGTCATCAGAGGAAGAGGAAGAGGAGGAAGAGGGGACTGACGTTGAAGAGCAGCAGAAGGAGCAAGGGCGCATAAGGCAGCAGCAGGCTAAGAAACCGCCGCCGCCGAAAGCTTCGTCTTTCCCGGCAAGAGATACGAAGCAGATAACAAGTGGTGTGAAAGAGGTGACGTTACAAGAAAATGAGGACGAAGAAGGGTTTGTGACTGAGGAAGAAGTTGAAGCAGCGCCTCTCAGACCCACAACGGTTACCAACCATGAGCAAGCACCTCCGGCTGTCAGCGAAAGTGAAGAGAGCTCGGAAGATGAAGAGTCGGAAGATGAAGAATCAAGTTCTGAAGATGAGGGCCCAAAGCGACTGCTTCTAAGACCAACGTTCATCAAGAAGAATCAACGTAAAAAATCGTCTACCCCTGGTCCGGCCCTTGCCGCAACATCGGCCGCAGATGAAGACGAAGTAGCGATTCGCAAGGAAAAGGCAGAGCTGCTGATCCGCGATCAAATAGAAAAGGAGGCGGCCTCCCGAGCAGCGCAGAAAAAGTCATGGGATGATGATGACGAGACCGGAGCAGGTATAGATGAAGATAATATTGATGACACTGATGGTCTTGATCCTGCGGCCGAGTTAGCAGCGTGGAAATTACGCGAACTTAAACGAGTTAAACGCGAACGTGAAGAAATCGAGCTCGCCGAAAAGGAGCGTGAAGAAATCGAACGCCGCCGAAATCTCACTGCTGAAGAGCGAGAACGAGAAGACCGTGAATTCCTTGCCAAACAAAAAGACGAACGGGAAGCGGGTAGAGGCAAAGCGGGCTTCATGCAAAAATACTTCCACAAGGGCGCTTTCTTCCAGCCCGATTCTGAAAAACATGGTTTGACGCAACGAGATTTGATGGGCAGCCGATATGTTGATGAAGTTCGCAATCGTGAAGCGTTACCACAGTACCTCCAGGTTCGAGATATGACGCGGATCGGAAGAAAAGGAAGATCAAAATACAAAGACTTAAGGACTGAAGATACCGGCCGCTGGGGCGTGGATGCATATTACCGCTCTTCCGGTCCGGCAAACAGTGCCTCTCGATTTGGAATCACCGATGAGCGATACTTACCTGACTATGACAAGTCCTCCGGCCCCACAGGTGCAAATGCCAGCTCTGTAAGAGAAAGGCCAAGACGGCGAAGCCAAAGTCGATCTCCTCATAGGAGGAGATATAGATCCAGATCCCGGTCGTTATCGAGAACTCGTAGACGACGACGTTCTCCTTCGCTCTCGAGATCTCGGTCCCCTCCTAGAAGAGATCGGGACAGGGACTATGATCGGAATAGCAGAAAACGGAGCCCGTCGCCCTATCCAGATCGTGAAAAGAGGCGGCGGGTTGATATTGCGGCGTAAGATGCATTTTGATTTTTTCAAAAGGCTCATTCATATATGACATGTACCCATGGTTGCATTGCAAGGCGTTTCAGGATGGAGCTCAAGTTCTCAAAACATGAGGCAAATTGGTAGATGTATGTCAGCATATCTCTTTTCCGAACTGAACAGGTAATACACCTGCTCGGAGGTATAAATATCTATGACGTTGATTATGTTGAACTTCCTGAAGAATGTCCACTAGATCTGATGGTGTGTCTCTTATCCACTTCCTCCATTACCTGACGAAAGCCCAACAAAACGCCACATATGCCCTTTATGAGATCCTGAAGCGAACTCCTTCCCAGCTCCGCACATTATATCTAGGGCCCTCTGGGAAGCAATAAACAGCATTCAACCCGTTTCTAAAATCTTGAACCATACCTACTTCACTCCCGCCCTCTCCAACATTTTCTCCCTCTCCATCACGCTCTCCCCGAACTTCACCAAAAAAACTGTTCTGCTGGGCCACATCTCATTCCCCTGGTTATGCGCCGTAACCTTGGCCTCAAATCCACACCCATCGCACACTCCTTCTATAATTCCCGCTACAAACGCGGCACAATTCAACAGGCCCATTTCTCGCGGAACAGAGATATACATATTTGTCAACGGATCATTATCAGTAATCATATATTCGTTGGGCGTATCGGGAGAGACGGAATGTTCAAGGGCATCCGCGGGACGGGAGAAAAGAAGGCGCCAGAGGGGACCGTGGATGAGTTGTAGAAGAGATATTATGCGCAGAGGTCGGATTGACTGGGTGGAAGAGCTGCTGGAGGACGAGGTTGTGAGGGTGCGGTATAGTAGGAGATCAAGCAGTCGAAGGCCTAGAGGATAACCTTGTTCGTTGAGACTAGATAAATACGATTTCAATTAGCAAACAGTGGGTTCAAAGCCGCTTCTATCTATGATTCCGGATCGTATATGAAGAATAATGAAAAGAGACTGCCGCGTCGATGGCACATTTTCATTCCCCACTCTCCCGCAGCTCATAAATTGGAAGTAGAAAATTCAGGAAGCCATACAGTCTCTCCAAATCCTGGACACCTGTCACTCGTCTCTGCGCGTATGTAACCATCTCCGCGAACAAGTACGCAAAGCTTGCTCTGCTCGATTCCGCATTGCGACTGCGATTCAGATTCCGATCGTATATCGTCTTGCGATTGGACGGGACCCGTAATCCCGTCGATCTTTCTAGTGGAGGTTGGGATATTGACTGTGATTGTTGATGCTGGTGCTTTTCTTCTCTGGTCTGGTTCATGATTGCGCTGGTAGATGCAGCGTGCATGTGTGCGGGCGGATGCCTTGCTGGTGCGTTCATTGTTGAAGAGGACATGAGCCAAAGCCTCCCGGGGGAATATTATAAGGTAAGAGTATACTCCGTGTGGGAGCCGTCTGGCAGGAATTGGAGGTTATGTGTACTAAGATGATGTACGAAGTACTTGTGAATGAAGCTATGAGGTTTGCACACGCCAGGGTTCTGTTGCTCCATGGTCCACGGAGTCTTGAGGAGCAGGAGTCCCACGCCGCCAAGCCATTTGTTGGGTCTCCCGATCACCAACCACGGCTTAAATTTTTACATGGCTTTATTTATCAAGCACTGGATTTCACTTCCCTTGGAAGCTATTGAATTTAAGTATAAATGCATATAGCCTCTAATAAATAAGTTAATACCAACAGCAGAAACACTGAACTCCTGATGCTGGCTGCTATGATCGAGCCCCTGCTCGCATTCGTGAGCACCTACAACCACATACCATTCCTCTTCATGGGGGTTAAAATCCTTACCAAAGGAGCATAGGCCTGAAATACTGTTAGCATGAAACTTTGCTGGGCCTTCGGTTCAGCCGTCGGTTCTATGCAGCGGAGTCCGGGATGCTTCATGCAGTGTGTCGAGATGTGCACGTTTCGAGGGATGAATTCTGATTGAGGCAAAAGGCTTCATCTCTTATATTTCTCACAATACTTATCATGGCCTGATGCTCTTTGCCTTTCTCTTGAGTTCCAATTGAATGTTCGGGAGATGCTATTGATCCACTCGTGACTACGCTGGCCGGGAGTCATCACATTCGCGAAGGGAAATCTCGAGGCTGATACTGTAACATAATCTCCGGGCAAAAGCTCCACGCTATGACATCTTGGTCAGGTTCAGGTCTGGAAAAGCGTGGACTGTTCAACTCACCGTTCACGGCCATCAAAACTCGCCCACGAGCTGGTGCGGGCATCATATGGCACACCTATTCGGAGCACGATTGTGTCCGGGAGGATGATAGGACGGAAATTGAGCGTATGTGCGCAGATTGCTGTTAAGAGAATCACAGGATTTTCCGGATGGCAGAGTGAGCCACCCGCCGCCAGGTTGTACGCTGTGGATCCAGTCGGTGTTGCAACACAGACACCATCTGCCTGTATTGATGTGAAGTACTCATCATCGCCAAATATTTCCAAGGAGGACATCGCTGTTATTGGAAGATATAAGAATCTTGTGGCCAGTTAGCACAAAAGGGGCTGAAGACATACTTGGATTTGGTCCTCTATCGACGACGATTTCGTTCAGGATCTGAAATGTCATGTCTGGCGCATGTGTTACATCGTCCTCAGATTCTTCTCCAAGAATCTCATCCACCAGATCTTTCTGCTTTGAAGTCGCAATCTCTGAGGTACGGCTCCTGCTTCGCATCACAGTACACTCAAATCGCAGACGAAGACTAACAGTCACACCTTCGTGAAAAGACTTTTGCAATGTACCACGAAAATTTCCATAATCAAAATTGGTCAAAAATCCAAGGGATCCCAAAGAGAAGGAGAGAACAGGAGGAACTATTTGCTGGAACAACCAGCTAGCATAAAGGACAGTGCCATCACCTCCAAGAGTGATGATGAAATCAATTAACTGTGGTTTCCGGCTAATGAGATCTGAATCCCAATATTGCAGTCTTCCTTTTGCTGAGGGTTCTTCAGCATATATACCAGCCTCATCAAAGTCTTTTTCACTCTCTAATCTTCTTTCCACATAGACGGTATATTGTCTTTCTCGTTCCTTGGAAAGGATCCACTGAGTAACGTCTCTGGTGAGACGCACCAGGCATTTATCTTGTGGCTTTGTCAAGAGAAAGACGCTCTTAACATTGAGCTTCAACCGAACATTTCCCAGCTTTTTCGAGAGTGTTCTCACGTTCCATGCCATTTCGGACAGCTGCTTCTTTGTCAGCAGCCGAGACTCCAGGACCATGCCAGTTCCGGCGTTGGCGTCGCTAGGAGCTTTCGAGGCGTCCTTCGCTTCTTGGACGATCTCTTGCACTGGCTTGAGGTGCAACTCTTTTGGTCTCCCGAGGAGCGAGTGGACGAAACATGCTGCGTTGCTAGAGTGGTCGACATGGCCGTGAGCGTGTCGAGGGGTATCAGCTGAGACCCAGGAAGATTTTCGACGATGGTTCGTATCCGTACCGAAGGTCACCTGCACAGAAAAAGCAAAGGGATATCAGGTTAATATTCGACGATCGTAGGATTGAAGCCAGCCCTGGGTTGGGCCATCTTACCTCGAGCCGATGTTGCACGTCCGAATCATCTTCCGAATCGACCTGGGAAGCCTAAATCTCGTAAAAAAGAACCAGTAATTAGGAATCAACGTCCATCAGGCCGCGGGGATGGAGCAAGGGCCATCGAATAGCGGGATCAATGAATTGACGGGTACAGGAACTCACCAAGCCCGGCTGTGATCGCGTGTCGCCGCCGGCGGTATGAGCCATCAAGGGTAGCCAGCTAGCAGAATAAATTTCCAGTTCATCAAATGAGGTTTCCGGAGGATTTCTCAATCAGAGCCCTGGATAATCAGAGTTTCATGATGTTTTTTTAATCGTCGACCGAGGGGCTGCTGGGGTAAATTCAGTTTGTTCCGCGGCGAGTGGCGTCATCGTGAGCAAGGGGTGTCTGGGCAACACAATGTTTTAGGGGAAGTCTAGGGGAAGTCCAGTCCTCCACCATCTCTCGCATACATTCCTACTCGCTTGCTAAATGGAATTTAACTCACAGTATTACTTATTCCTCAACCATGCTGCTATAGGGTGACATTGTGATTAGCTCTTGTTCATGGAGTGGAACTCTTGATGGACGAAACAACATTTAGCGGGCATGTGGCCCCCAGCCCTAGACGTCATACCGGGGCCGACGGGAGGCCATTTGGATGGAGCCACATGCAAAGGCCGCGATAACCTTAGCACATGCAAAAGGACACTTGATACAGAATATTCACTTGTTATTATTACCGGGATGGGTGGTGAAGATCAGCCTTTGTTTCGAATCCCCATATTCGATATAGTTAATGCACCTGTGAGGAATGTCATCCGACGACAACCGACTCTGATTGTTTCACCAAGCTGAGAAATGCTAAGTTTGATAAAACGTATCCTGTCGTATTTTAGCCCGCCAACGATAGAATCTCAGAGTGAGAAAGTTGGAAATGAAGAGTTTCTCTTTTTCTCTTTTTCTTTTTTTTTAAATCACCCCTCTGCAATGAACTCTGATCCTGGATTTAGCTGGGTAAATTATCGAGTCAAATTCTATAAATAGGCCTGGTTTGCTTCGTTGAACATTCAGCCATGCCCGAGGTCATAAAGGAGAGTGCACTGTAACCCACGCCTCGAAAGCCGCCACCTGAGAATCTTGATGGCTGAGATATGCGCGTTGCTCGACGGGATCGTCAAGCACAGTGCTCAAAGTCACCTTTTGAGGCGAGGGTGAAAAAAGGCATTTCCAGTCTCCACTCCACCCAAGGTAACACCGCAAATCCCGTCCATGACCGTTCAAGCTTCAACTATGCAAAAGCTCGTGTGCTGTGCTTCCCCCAGGCACCAGGATTTCAAAGTATCCTAGCGGCTCTTCTGGACAATAAGAAATGAAAGGGACTTTGTCCTCATACAATCCATTTTCCACTACAAGCCTTGACCAAGATTTCTTCTTTCAACTAGTTGAAGAGAACTCTCATTAGAAACCGGGCAGAATTTACAGGTGTAAAGCATCCCAGGGTAATCGCCGTTATTATGTGAGCGGAGAGCTCATTCTTATCGAGAAATCCATGGTCGGACACAGTCATAAATTGAATGCCACAAATTCCTAGAGAGGACTCCACATGTGGTGGAACGGCATTTACAGCTTCAAAAGCCAGTACTACTCAGGCTCTTGAAGCAGTGGCCAATTCCACAGATTGGAGCCAGACCTGGGAAGGTGTTTACTTGGATCCAGTAAATGCTTATACATGCACACATCATCCTCATCACCATCATCCTGGAGAGCACTGAATGACGTGGAGCACAATGATAAGCCATGAATCAAACCAGCGGCAACACCCGGTAAACATGTGAGGCGACATATCCACCCCGGTGAACGGGTTGATTATGACAGAGCCTAGGAGGGAATTATATTCTTGGACCTTCACCAGTTTAGCGAGAGTTGAAACAATGTCAATTGCCAGGGATTGTTTCGGTATCTCAATTTTATTCTAGGCTAGATGCGGACACGGACCTTGAACTCAAGAGCTCGAGCTGAACCACAAGCGCATATATCCTGGTCTCTGGCGAGGCGGAGCAAATATGGCAAGGCCACAGCCCATCAGCCAGTGGAAAGGGCTTTGGGTAGTTTCAACAACAGTCACTTCATCACAGAGCTCAATCCCCTCTGCCTGATATTTCTTTGACAAATGTCATCTTTCGGAGGAGGCCGCGTCCTGAATGATCACCGCATCTTCCCTCCAACACGAAAATGGCGCGTCATCGTTTATGTGGCGAGAGACGAGATCCAGTCCTGTGGCCATTTGCGGAAGTTCTGGTTGGGCATGACGGGGTTAGGCGGATTACGGCGCTAGACCTTGGAGATCTTCGACCTTGTCGGTGTTTGGGTGCCCGTGTGGTAACAATGGTCATGACGACTGTAGAAAAATGAATCCATCTCAGGGCCCGACCGCTGGCATTGTGCAAGTGAATGCGAAAAGTCCTTGTCAAGGTTAATGTTCAAGTATGCCTTGGGAGTTCGACCTGGCAAAATATGGCCCAAGTTATTGGCCCAGAGGAAGGCAGCCTAAAATTAAGCTTAAAGCTCCCCCAGTACGGAGTATCTCCTAACTAATGGGTCCTTCGCTCCAGGCTCCGTGCGGAGTACGAGGAACAGATATTTTATTGCTCGGCCTGCTACTATAGTACTTTTACGTAAATCCATCGTTTGGGAGGTTCACGAGTAGCGCCCAAATCCACATCGAGAGTAAAGCTTCTTCTGCATTCCAGCCTGCAACAACCCAAACCCGCCCTTCACCTTTGGTTCAATCAAACATTCCGCTGTCACTATCACATTAAAGGTCGACTAGTATGATCTCCTGGCGGTCCAGCATAAACTCAGTCGAGCTTCTTCAAAAGATTTAGATGCACAGCTAGATGAGGCAAGGTCACCTAACGGCCAAAAAAAAAAGGAATACTTTTAATGGGAGAGAGATAATGTCTGACGCAATGGCGTCTGCGGTGTCAAGGACGTAGTTGGCGCGTAAGCCGAAATCTGTGAGAGGTTTTAATAGTTACTCCGTACCACAAGGAGATAAAATTTGGATTTCGAGGCGAGTCGTCAAGATGGATTAGGGATGTGAGCTGGAAAGGAATGGGAGAGCAAATCATATGGATCAGACCAACGTAAATGGCACTGGGATAAACTCCCATGCAGGTAACGGTGAAGTGGGTCCGTGTCCCGATACCGTTCATTCGAAGGTCTAGAAAGCCTGCGCCTTTGCGGTCAATAAAGAAGCTGGGAGTGTGGAATCAATGTTCTTCCGGGATGCTACCATAGTATAAGGATGTATGGAGAAAAGTTTTTATCAATACAAAAGGTTTCAGTATTATCTTGATATGTGCCGGAATTCCCGGATAAGAGAAAAGAAAGATACCGCGTGCGATGGGAGAAGTTTGGAAAAGGATCATTTCACTCAGAATATACATGGGAGATCAATTCATGCGAGGAAGGTAAGATTTTTTTGCGCGGAGCTCAATGAATAATCCGGGTTTCTGGAAGACTTTTCGAAAAATTCATTTTTGAAAAGGAACGTTCTCAGGCAAGCATGGAGTTTCCATGCTACCACGAGAGTGGATACGTTTTCCGCGCGTGTTGAGCGATACCATGCGCTGAGCTTCTCTTGCTGGATAATACTATGGCAGGGAGAAGCTAGGTTAAGCACACATCTTGTTTGAATCCCTCAGTAGGCGATCTTAACCACCATGGAGATTCAGCGGGATAGCAACAACAAGGAGTCGAAGGAAAAATCTTTTTCATTTCCATTTTTGTATAAATTAGTAATTTCGATACCTCGTATGGGTATTTGTGCGGAGTACCTATCCTTGCACCGTATTACCCGTGGCCGCATGTCCCTGCCGCAGGTGATGCAAAAGCTTCATATTACCGGCTACAAGAGGGTGACAGGGGTCCGGAGTGAAAGCTCAAACTTCAATCAACAGAACCAAGAATATGTATTCAAAATGTACCGCACAAATCATTGGAAATTCTACAGCCTGCGTGTTGGGATGCAGCCTGTAAACCACAAATTGCGTGAGACAGGCACGGAACATACCTGCAGAAGTTTACTAAAATGATCAGGCGAGCACGGAGTATCTCTGTACAAATGCTTGATTTCCCAACCAAAAAAAAAAAAAAAAAGGAAAAAGAAAGAAAGAAAGAAAGAAAGGAAAAGAAAAGGAAAGGAAATGGAAAACCTAGCGGGCTGATCTTCCTAGGAATGCGACTGGAGCTGAAAACCGGAGGTGCGGTGTCAAGGTGATCCATGTCATATCCCGAGGTTGTGCGCAAATGGTCATTTGCAGATCAATCGAAACACCGAAAGAATCACAGGTCTGTCTCTCAGCTGTTACCAGTGATTTGGCTGCAGGCAATCTTCGTTGATTTTCTGAGATAGACACCCTCAAAGCACTCCGTACGGACGACTATAAAACTTATGTAAGAGCAATAAACTAAAGGAGCCAAATGGACCAATAGCTGGAGCTTGCCACATCTTGAGGCCCCTTGTTTCCTTGTACGCCTGCTCTTGAACTTGAACTTGACAATCGTCTTGACCGCCTGGATAGGTCGGTAGTACAGAATATGTCGATGCATCCGATGTTCGATTGTCCGAGCTAGTGATTAAACAAGTCACCGAGGATCTCTTTTGAATCTGAGCCTCTCATTTAATTCGGGTATCCCTCCCAGCTAATGAGCAGGGATTAGATGGTTTAGATGGTTGTCATGGTTCGGCCGATGACCGTTGCTCGTAAGTGAAACCAGTCACTGGACGGAATTGGAAATAGGACTGTCACCGGCATTCCAAGAAAAACCACAAGGTCAGTCATACTTTTTGCGCAGAGTACCTCTGTGTCTCAAATTCACAGACCAGCAGGCATGGTATGATAATCGACTTCTGAATGTCAAGCATTGAAGGATTTCTTGGATGCATGCCTGCAGCCTACAAGTGAGTGCTGTACTCAGAGTAACTGGGTTTCCGTTCCAAACAGGACAAGAAATCGCAACTGCTGTGGCTTGTGAATGATGCCCGGCAGGCTGCAGGACCTTGAGCAGTGAGACACTGTATTGGACACCCATACAACCGTTTGCCAAAGGCACAATGTTCCCTGTATGAATCATTCCGACTGGAAGAGTCACTAGGGGAACGTTGATGTAAAGAGGAATCATGAAGATCTTGTCAGCAGACTACAACCAGACCTGAACGACTCACTCAAAAATATAATTAACGACCGCACCGCCGCCGGGGGGCGGGAATATGTACCAATGATCCAGCATCCTAGTGCCGGGTGATGCTTGTCAAACCAGAGAC